TTTTAATTAATCGGAAGCTAACGCCAAGAAAAAAAATTTTTTTTATAATTTTCAATACAGACTAATTTTCACCATCTTCGTCGTTCTAAACTTTTTCCTTGTTTCAGCCAAGTCTTCGGGTGCAGTCCCTGCCACCACATTATTAGCCATAATTGGGTTATGGTTTTTAATTTCTGTTCCTTTATGTTTTATCGGTTCATTCTTTGGATTTAGGAAACCTGTATGTATTAAAATACTTGTTTTATGAGTACAAAAAAAAAAAAATAAATACTAGACTTATTTTTTTTTTATTTTAAACTTAGAAAATTGAACATCCAGTTCGCACAAATCAAATCCCATGCTTATGGGAGGTGTACTTCCGTTTGGTGCTATCTTTATTGAATTATATTTCATAATGAACAGTATTTGGGGAAATAAGGTTTACTACTTATTCGGATTTGCCGCATTAGTATTTGTAATTCTTACTATTACATGTTCGGAAGTCACAATCTTATTGTGTTACTTTCATCTTTGTGCAGAGGTTGGCTCAAATAATATCGATTTCCTTTTAAACTATTTATTTCTTCTTTCGTATAAAGTTTCAGGCTTATTTTATTTTCTTATTTGCTCCCTTTTAGGATTATCATTGGTCTTGGAGGGCATTCTTAACATCAGGAGCGTCTGGATTATACATCTTCATCTATTCCATTATGTATTTTGCTACTAGGTTACAAATTACATCTTTAACAAGCACAGTAATATATTTCGGATGGTCAGGAGTTATGAGTTTAATGTTCTTTGTTCTTACCGGTAATCTTTCTTTTCTTTTCTCTTTTTTTTTTTTTTTGGCGGATAATCGTAAGTATTTCTAATATTTATTCATTCATTTCTAGGAACGATTGGTTACTTTGCATGTCTTGCTTTTATCCGCAGGATTTTTATGAGCATCAAAGTTGATTAAAGAAAATGATAACGATTGCAGTTCAAGATGTTACATCAATGAAGTTGTGTTACAAGAGTTAGTCACAATATAATCGATTGTGACAGATATGTAATTGTATTTAGATGTGTACCTAAATCTTTTTTTGTACTTTTCTTTCTATCTATATTATATGGGAGATTTAATATATTTATATAGTTAACAAGTTATTTTAAAAATTATTGAAACACTTGACCTAGATTTTAATTATAATATAGTTTGATAATCGGAATTTTTTTTTTTTTTTTTTTTTTTTTTTTTTAACATGAGATAAATAAAAATTTATTAAATAATAAATTTCCTGGGAAACATTGATAAGAAAGGTAACTGATTATTTTGTGTTCAAACATAAACAGCATGGAAATAGATAACTGGGAAAATTCAATCAATATATCGATCTTTACTGTAACAAGCTAATCTTTAACGTAATCAATTATATGGGAATTTTATGCAATAGGGATCAGACCGAACCCCATGCGAAAAAAAAAACAAATGGGCTGTCAAAAGCTTTTTTTTAGGACATGGGCGTTCATCATTTAATTGGAAATATATCGTAATAATTATTATTTTATTTTTTATCAGGCTGAAAGTTTTAAGTTATCTTTATCTTCTTGTACACCATGATTATGATTTTTTTGCATAAGATTTGATTAGTTTTATCATGATCCTGATTATCTTAGTAAAAAGGCGTAAATTCGGTTAGTTACACAAATTTATACTTCTTTTAAATTAATTTCATCTCATCAATCTTTTGGCGTCGACTCATTCTTACTTCTAATAAAATATCGTTTTTTTTCAAGTATAAAGAGGAGCAAATTTCTTTTTTTTGGAGACCTTCAGTTTTCTTTGAGCTCATGAAGTTTTATAGTTCAACGACAGCTGCAGATTACATAGATATTCAACGTGAGAATTTTTATTTTTTATGCGAGCTTACATTCAGATGTCCGATTTTCCCTCTTTATTTATTAACGAACTTTTTTTTTTTTCAACTTATTCAGTCTGGAAATCATCATCCACCGGATTCTAAACTTTTCAAACTCAAACAAAAAGCCCTATTCCATTATTTAATTAATATAATTGTCAAATCCACACTGTACAAAAATTTTTTGCATATAGAAATCATTTCATTTTTTTCCCTACATTCTTGCATTTATATTTCTTTAAAACATGACTAATTTCTTGACGAAGTCGATTAGCGTTAGTCGCGCTGTTTCCTTGGTTTCTCATGGAATCAAACCTTTCGTCGCAACGCGTGGCCTTGCAACGGTTAAAGATCAGTCGTTCACTCTCAACAAAAAGCCACCTCCACCAATAGCACCCTATGCTCCCGTTTCATTAAAACCAACACCCGCAACCCTCAAACTCAAATCTGGTGAAGTTTATACTGGCACCTCTTTTGGAGCAAATGTCCATACTTCTGGTGAAGCGGTTTTCACAACATCTCTCGTCGGATATCCAGAGTCGATGACTGACCCTTCATATCGCGGTCAAGTTCTTGTTTTCACCCAACCACTCGTTGGGAATTATGGTGTGCCTGGCATCTTTAAAGATGAATATGGCCTCCTCAAATTCTTCGAGTCAGATAGAATCCATTGTGAAGGAATTGTTGTCAGCGACTACGCATCTCGTTATTCGCACTGGACTGCTGTTGAGTCGTTGGGTGAATGGTGCACCCGTTTTGGAGTTCCCGCAATCTCAGGCGTTGACACTCGGGCAATTGTTCATATTCTGAGGGATCAGGGTTCAACACTCTCCAAATTGTATATCGGAGAAGACCCCGACTTCTCCAAAATTCCTTATTCCGACCCAAATGAACGAAACCTCGTTTCAGAAGTTAGCACGGCAGTTCCCGTTTCTTACAATCCTTTTGGCGACATCAAAATCGGAGTTGTTGGTTTGTTTTTTTTTTTTGGTTTTTTCTTCATTTTTCAATTTTCAAACATCATGATTTTAACATTTTTTCACTTGTCCATAGATTGTGGTGTAAAAAATAATATCTTGCGCGCACTTGTTAAGCGTGGTGCTGCGGTGACTGTTCTCCCTTGGAATTTCAATTTCAACAAGGTTTCGGATCAATTCGACGGCATCTTCATCAGCAACGGTCCTGGAAATCCAACAAAAGTTGTCGAAACGGTTCAAAATGTTCGTCACGCCTTGGCAACCTACAAACGACCAATTTTCGGAATCTGCATGGGAAACCTTGTTTTGGGTCTTGCAGCTGGTTTAGATGTTTATAAACTCCGCTTCGGAAACAGAGGTCACAATGTCCCCGCTTTGAACGTGCTCGACGGAAAATGTCAAATCACTTCCCAAAATCATGGTTCGTCTTTCTTTTCCTTTTGAAAAATTTTTGATTTGTTCTCTTCAAAGAGATTTTAAAGTTTCATTTGTTTTTTAGGTTATGCATTGCAAGACAACGTGATGCCAAACGGATGGACAAAATATTATGTGAATGCAAACGACGGCTCAAACGAAGGAATTCGCCACACGACTCTCCCATTTAAGAGTGTTCAATTCCATCCTGAAGCAAAAGGAGGACCTCAGGATACAGAATTTTTGTTTGACGAATTTCTTTCGAAGGTTCGCACTGACAAAATTCAACGCGAAGGGATCAAAACCTTTGTTCCAGAAACTTTCATTTCACAACCGCAAGTTGTTTGAGGAGGCTTTGGTGCAAATTTGAAAAAAAAAAAAAAATCACATTTTCTGGCTTGATCACTTTTTTGGATGATGGTTTTTCAAACTTGAGATTTGTGATGACACATAATAATTTTCACGAACATTATTTTTTCACATTTAAGATTTTATTTGTTTGTAATTAGTTCTCAAAAACATTTTTCCTTTTTCTTTATTATTTCGCCAAAAAAAAAAAAAAATAAAAAAAATTAAAAAGTATTTTGTATTTGATTTCAATAAAAAGTTTTATTTTTCATTTCATTATAATAAAAAATATATTTAATAACTTTAATAAGTAATGTCTGGATGTTAAATTTTTAAAAAAATCTTTAAATTATTTGTTTCGCTCAATTTCCAAATCAGGAGGAATATTCTTACTCTTGAGATTGCATCCGAATCACAATACAATCTTCATCAGTTCCATAAGACCTTCTTGCAAGCTCAAAATCGTTCATGGAAACCATGCAATACCGTTCTGTAATTCCAGGATCACGATATATGAGACAATCAGTATTTGGGTCAAAGCCAATGAGAACAATAAAGTGTCCTATTTACCAAATAATCCAAGAAATTATAAAAAGAAATCTTTTGATAAATAACCGACAAATATGAAACTTTTAATAGAAATATTTACCAGCATAATTACATCCTCTTAATTTATCCAAGATATAATCAAAACTATTGCATAAAGAAAACCAGCATAATTGCTTAGTCTTGCCGCAGTTATTATCATATTAGTAACATATTTACGAAATTGAATCTTGTACACGAAATCATAAAGACGTACCTGGCATAATTGACATTTTAAAAGACGAGAATTTACTAAAGCTATTATGGCAAATTTAGAATTAAATAAAAATCGTTTGAAATCTTCAAGAGGAAGCACCCTATTAAATGAAAAAAGGAATCATATACGATGATTTATTTTTTATATGTGTATAAATATTGGGACTTTATCTTTTATAATAGTAAAGTTTCTAAACGCACATCTGTACAACATTAACGTTGTTATTCTTTGCTTTTGGGAATAGTCTATTAACCCGACGTTCATCTTCATCAAATGCTTAATGAAAAAGGAAAGAAAATTATGAATAAATGGTATAAAAAGAATCAGTTGTACGTGCGTATTGATTCAATTTTACTTGATCTATAAAACTCGTTGTCTCTGTATTGAGTTCTGACTCCTGCATACGAGGTATAATATGTAAAGTCAAGGTCAGGTACGTAATATCGAAATAAGAACGCCTAAAAGGAATAATGGAAAGAAAGTTTTAGTTTTGAATTTCATATTGAAATTCAAAAGATTTGAAAATCCTTGAGCAAATATTCAAACGAATATCGAAAATGATTTCGAATATCGAAACTCTTCTTTTCAGAGGGTTTCTTTTTTTTTATTTTATAATGTGCGGAGGGATCTTTCGAAGGATGGTTCTTTTTTCGATAATTTCCGATCTTCGAAATCATTTTCGATCTTCAAACTTTGATGAATATTTACTTTTATTTATTTGTAAACAAATATTCGAGTAACCTAATTTTGCAAAACTTCTCCAAACATTAAACTTACCAGGTCTATTGTCCAAATACTAGAGACTGCAACTTGTTTATTGAGTTCCCGTAAATCTACTTCAACAAAACCTAAACCTCGTAAAACCATACAAACACAAGCAATTCCGCAATCAAAGGAGTCTTGCTGTAATACGTGAGGAACTCTAAATTTGGAGCTGCTTACTTGAACAATTGAATTGTCCATGTAGTTCCCATTTGGCAAAAGGGTATTTATGGAATTTTAAAGGTATATACCGTGTTATCGTTTCTGGAAAAAAATAAATAAAAAAAACTCATTGCATTGTAGTGAAAATTCGAGTTGTCATACTAATACTATCTATCTATAGAATATACCACATCTAAATTTAGTAATGATCATATAAATATGATGTCAATATTGTGTTGTTTTATATTCTAAATTCTGTTTTGCTTAAAATACAAGTATTTTATACTTCCGAAAATAAGCATCTCAGAAACTAAGCATCATCACATTTTATACGGAAAGTTTGCTAGGAAAATCAGGCTCTGGCGTTTTAGTTTTTGATATTATTAGATTAAAATGTAATAAGATCTTAATTTTAGTCAAAAAAAATTCCAGAATCTGATTTTTATAAACTTCCTATATACAGTATATACTAAAATAAGCATGTTCCAAAAATTGAATCATTTTCTTATTTAAATATTATAAATATTCAAACAAAGATTAATATTAATTTTATTAAATTTATTAAAAGATAAAAAATTATCATTTTATCTATTCATTTATTCAATAATTATAGCTTTTGTTATCTTTTAATTGCTGATTTGCATGTGTTCAATAAACAGATATAGTAAATTGTGGCTTTATGTTCAATAATAAAAAAAAAGTCTAGGAATCTCTTTTTTTTCATAATAAAAAGATGTCAAAATCCCATATTACTTCAGGAAAATTTATTGCAACTGGCAGTATTGTACCAGAACTTCATTATGGTCTATATTTACGCGATTAGTGAGTTTTTTCTAAAGAAAAAACTCCTATTCCCTTATATTTAAGACTTGAAGTTATGATCTAACTTAATAATAATCCATTTATTATACACTCCCCGGTCAAAAGTATTGGACCAAAAAAAAAGTTATCGCAACTTTTAAATTTATGACTAATTTTAAT